TTTCTCTGTTATTTTTTCTGCCGATTTTTTTTTTCGTTTTTTTGCATTACATATGTGTATGTGTGTATATGGGTACATATATGTGTATATGTATTGTGTATACATGTATATATAATTCTTTTTTTTTGGCCTAAGATGAAAAACAGAGGTTGCATCTTTTGGTGCAACCAACTGATCTTCAGCCTTTCCCGTTTCAGTAAATGTTCACATTCATTTATTGTATCATTATGGGAATAAAAACCTATTATTATTATTATTATTAGATGCGTTTCGCTAACACCGTAACTTCCTTGGTTCTTATATACAGCAATAATAGGTACCTAAATTATTGAGTGGTTGATAGTGGTCACAAATTCACAACAGAACTAGAAACTAATAATTCAATAAACTTTTGAGACCTCACAATTACAAAAGTTAATAACAAACCCGTACAGATACAACTATAAACAACTATTCTAATCACCACAGCAACATAAATTAGCAGCTCACCACACTTATACAATATTGAATAGCATCAGCAAAAAAACTGAAAGGATTAGAAAGGTAGTTCTACTAATCCTACTCCTACTAATATTATAAATGTGTAAAGTTTGTAAAGATGGGTGAATGTAAAGTATGTATTTACGTTTTTTACTTTTTCACGCATAAACAGCTCAACGGATTCAAATGTAAGTTGGTATATAGATAGACCATGACCTGGAATAACATATAGGGTAGGTTCCCACGGTAACGCGGATAAAACAGCGGGTAACAGTGGGTATCTATTGATTGACTAACACTCTTGGATTAACGTACAGCCGAAGCTACTGTACCTATAATCATGAAAAATGCAGGTAGGTTCATTGTATAGCGTAAATAGGCATCAAGAAAGGGAATCAGGAATTTCCACCCCCAAGGGGAAAAATGGGATTTCAAAGATTGTATTGAATTTCTTCAGTTTTGAGGTTAGAAAATGTTTTGGGTTGATGAAACAATATTGTAACTATTTATTTAAAATAGTCTGTCACAAAACCTAATGTGACAAAGCAAATTCTACGCAGGCGAAGCCGCGGGAACAGCTAGTAATTTATATTTGAAAATATAGTAACTCAAAAAAGATGCCAATTGCACTAAGTAATGAATAACTTCGAGAATCGAATTATGTTACCTATAAAGAAATTTCGCAAAACTATCACAACCGTCAACGACGTCGCGTCTGCCCGCGTTGGGGTCGCGTTCTTGGCAGTGGCGCTGCATTGCTTAGACCGCCCCTCTACCTGCGCATCTTCCCCGTCGTCTTACAGTAGACGCGACGCGTAATGGCTCATTGCCTTGCGTCAAGTTACCCGTATCGTGATAACTTTTAAATGATTCGTTCTAATTATTTAGTGTAAAAGACAAAGTTTATCTATATAAAATACTTTAAACGACAATTGTATCAAGTTTTATAAGAATTTGATAGATATTCTGAAATTTTATCAAGATAAACAATCTTATCGTGCACAATCTTTATGTAACTCCAACGGAATAGGCAGCGCACGCCAAGATATCTCTCAGGGAGCAAGAATTTTTCCGACTTACTTAATACTTATCGTTATATTTTGACCAAAATTAAACAAAATCTTTGTAAATTGTAGTCTGATGTATAAGCTGTATTTATATAAAGTTTCATCTTAATCCGTTCAGTTGTTTAGGCATGAAAGAGCCACAAACATACATTTATATATCCTCAGAAACTTTCACATTCATAATATTAGTATGGATTTGAGAATATGAGGTTATGATTGAATTTATTATGCTGTTATAACTTTACCTGTGTGAAATGTGGAAAAACTCATAATGATAATTTATTAAACAGTACATTCCAGTTTAGTCGGTTGATATTGAAACTATCGAACTATCCACTTCAAGATTGGTTTTCAGGGTGAAATATTTTAATGTGAAATTCAACGCATTCATTAGTCATCCCCTTCCTAAAACAACCCTCATGTCAAAAAGTTCGACTGGAAATAATAGTTGACTGATCCCATGGGTTGGGCTACCTATCGGGTGCGTGTCCAGGTGGCGGATAGGGCAAAGACCAGGGGACTGGAGGCCCTGTTCGGGAAGCCAATGTGGCCTTACGGACGGGGTCGCCGTACTCCTGGTCAGTGGCAGAAATAAGTGGGGTGAGGGGAACTAAAACTCCCCAAAAATCTTTGCAAGCTAAGGTGTAAGGAATTGTGCCAACAGCTGTCGTTATCAGCCTACCTATGGTAATGCGGGGCTCTGCCAGAGGTGACCAACTCTTCCCTTGCTACTCATGGTGCTCACCTCAATCTAAGGCGGTGGCTAGGGATGAAGAGAAATGTTCACCCCATGTCCGCATGGAATGAGGTTGGACATGGCAGATCACCTCGTGATGTAATAGAAAGGCCAAGGAGTAAGCGCATTTGCGGCGCCGAGGCCAAAAGGAGAGAAAGAGCGAAGGAGTCAGGAGTGACAGCAAGTATAAGTGCAACCTCCTCCTCCCCCACTCACCTCCAACAACAAGGGCACTTAATGTGGCGGGCGCCAAGAGCTCCGCCTTGAATAAAGGCAAGGAACCGGCTGCCCCTGCAGGAAAGCTACCTCACTTGTGCACCTTCACGAAGGGAACCCCAAGAAGGTTGAAAACGCCGCGCAACGACAGTAATGTCGCTGCATCTTCAAAACCTTCGCGGAGGTCATCGTGAGACACCTCAAGGTTGCCAAAGAGAGTGTGTGTTCGGTGAGTCTTGGCCTACACCTGCCAATATAAACTAGATGTCTCCTAGTGACCACCTTCCTGGAAAGGACAGGATGGACGATGGCCTAGGAGGACAACTCGTCTGTAGGATGTAGCCTAAGTGCTATGAGTCTTCACTCACCCTCCCTACTCTACAGATATGGAAGGTCAACTAGATATTCCACTATTTGACATGTCCAAACTGATCACTATTTGAAGATACTAACGGAAAAAATATTAATGAGAACTTGCGGTGAAGCATTTCATCACCTTGTTACTGCTGGAGTTGTTGATGTTTATGCCAAAATAATTATGTGTGTGTTTGCACTAAGAACATAAAAAATCTGCAAGTACCGCTTCTTTCTCAACGAGAAATATCCGGGCAGAAATGTAAGACATAAATGTGTATTGGAACATGAATTCATGGAACAACATATCCATTCAGAAATAGTCAATAAAAAAGACATTTCTATTGAAATTTTAAATCACGTTGCCTTGATAGAAAATTTAGTATTCTTGTTGTTGTCCCAAGCATCAATAGTGAGTGGTACAAACCTCCTCAAAACTAGTTCCACCCTAACAAAATGAAATCCATTCTTCAATTGAAAGAAGATGATTTTGAGAGAAAAGTTTCATTTTGTGAGATCCTCTCGGATCGCGTCAACCATAGGTTAGGTTAGGTTAGGTCCGAAGTGAGTGGGTCTATTCGAAACTCCACCGCAACCAGCATGGGTTTATTATGGCTCACACCTATTCACACTCGACCAAATAAACCCAGGTTCTTAACGAAGCCGATTGATTTGTATGGTGAGTGGTCTTTCAGGCCAGATGGTGAAAGTATGGCTCTGCCGAATTCTAAAACTGATTCGGTCCCTAGTGGGGCAGGCACAAAGTATATTCTCGGCTGTTTCATCGTTAATGAGGTAGTCGGATAGTCAAGGTGCAAGATTCTTCCTTGATACCCGCGACAACCTTCCCATATGAGGGTTTTTGCACGTCAGCTATACCTGCCTTAGATTCAACCGTGCCGGGCTTTTTCGGCTCTGGTTATGATGAACCGTAATTCAGTTTCATTGTGTTCCATATGTTTTCCGTTTGAATATACCTTTTATCTAAATGGGCTTGTGACATTGTAGTGGTTCCAATCTCATCATAGCACGCCAAATCCAAACCCAATATCCTCAAAAACTGAATGTTTGGTCAGGAATTATGTGTAACCATATTATAGGACCAATCTTTTTGATAGCAAACCTAAATGGTGAAGGATATTTCGTTTTGCTGAATAATCAATTTATGCCAAGCAATGCCATCCAGTTAGAGCCTCTATTGCGAAATGGGATAATTTTTCAACAAGATAGAGTTCTTTTTCATTGCGAAGTACCAGTATGACACTTCTTTTATAATAACTTCCCGGGTCCACGTATTCTATAGAATGGCTTCCCAGATCCCCCGATTTGATTCCACCGGATTTTTTTGTGGGGATGGTTGCAATCAAAAGACTACGAGACGCAGCCAACAACTTTAGGTAATTTACGGAAAAAAAATCACCAAGTGCTGTAGGCTATGAACACCAGATATTCTGCATTATATGCATGTTAATGGTGCTCAGTGATACAGTGATTTTTTTCTTCAGTTACACTTTCTAGTTCGAAATTGAATACACACTTAAAAAAAAGGTTCTATTTTTTCTGGCATTGCTTATCATGGTTATGGCAAACATTTCACAAGGTTGGATACAAAATTGAATGACTTTTCAAATGAGCTGTCATTATTATCCCCATTTGAAATTTTCAACATGTAGGTTTTAATGTTTCATCAACCTCTTGCCAAGATGTGCGTGACAAAAGGTTGATTTTTACGTAGAAATATGTCTTTCCCCTTGAAAACCAAATCAAATGTGTTTTCAAAACCAAATGACTCATTCAGGATTGCATGTTTTGACTGGAATATAATCTATGTTATTTGTTATACTTTTCGTTTCTCTGATAAACACTTCTGCGTCATGATATCTTGTGATACAATGATTTTGAGAAATATATCAATGTGTAGGTGCATTAATTCTTTATAAGAAGCATTATTATAATGAGGAAACCAATACATTGTTGTTTTGAAAAATGAGTATTAATCTGTACTTACGGTAACCATGTATTTTGGAAGCTGATGGAAGGAAAGAACGCGAAAACATTCTCAAGTGATGGAGTGAATCGAATTGTATCGTTGATTCCTCCCAAGTCTTCAGACACATATAAAGTGGATGATTTATTCGAATGGCTGGCAACAATTAGGGCTCGATTGTCTGAAACGTCCACCACGTAATAGCTGAGAATTTTTTTTGTAGTTTCGAAAACACATTCAAATTGTTTTCCCAATGTGAAGGAAGCGAATAACGTCAAGCTTCCCTGAAAAAAAAGAGTTAATTGGAACGACAAAAAATGTTTTTTCGAATGTCATTGCCAAAGATGATTGTGGATATTATTAATCGAAACGCCACGACGTGAGCGGGCGGGGTTGCTTTAATTTTTTTTTCACTTTCATTTTTATTTGTTCGGAATCAAAGATTTAGGAATTACTCTTGACCCGAAAATGTCATTCGTACCCCACATTGCAATTTTTTTTCCTAGAGCACTAAAAATATTAGGTTTCACTCTTAGATCTGCAGAGAAATTATCTCTCTATTCAATGTTCCAATCCATTCAAAAAGATTGTGAAAAGATCATGGGGAGCTGTTGAATCGCTTGTATGACCATGCAATTCTGATGGCTGGAAACTTCAACGTACCTGAATATGCATCATATTCAGAAACAGATCGCAGTAGCCCGCGTACTACTTTGTTGAACATGTCAGAGTTTTTCGGCTTATCGCAAAATAACTTTGTTTTCAATAAGATGCACAGTTCCCTCGGTTATGAGCAAAATCATTGAGAGATGTGTTTACAATCAAATGTTAACTTTTCTTATAAAATTTGACATCGTCTCAAAAAATCAGCACGGTTTTTTTCCAGGCAGATCGACAGAAAGTGCATCAAGTATGTTTCTTAAATATATTCATGATTCTCTTGATGATAGGAAATATGTTGGAGCAGTTTTTTTCGATTTAAGCAAAGCATTTGATACCATCAATCTTACAATCATTAAAAGCAAGTTATATTCATTGGGTTTTAGGGGCACTATTTTGAAGTGGTTACTGTCATACTTACAGTACAGAAGATTGTATGTAGAAATAGAAAAAAAGAAATCTCTTATATACAACACAGATCTTGGAGTTCCTCAATGATCCATTTTGGGTCCGCTAATGTTTTTGTTATTTATTAATGATTTATCACTACATCTAAGTGTGCAACATACCATCCTATATGCAGATGACACAACAATTGCTGCTGACGCAAGGAATCCTGAGGAACTGCAAATCAAACTCAATACCATATCCATGGAATTCAGTAGATGGTGTAATCGAAATGATCTAATCATCAATCCCAAAAAAACAGTTTGCATGCAGTTCTATGTGAGGGAAGTTACAAGAATTGATACTTTACATGTGATACTCAATAATGAATTGATAAAAATATCAGAGTCTACAAAATTTTTGGGGTCTTATTTGAATGCAAATATGAGCTGGGAAAACAATATTAACTTTATATCAAAAAAAATTAGTAGTGGGTATTATGCAATTCTACAGCTTAAAACTGCACTGGATAACATGCAACTCCTAAACGTATATTATGCCATAATTTATTCTCATATATCTTATAATATAATATTATGGGGCAACACATCACACGCTCATAGAATTTTCATATCCCAAAAGAGAATTATTAGGCTGATATTTGGTTTAGGTCCAAGAGACTCATGCAGAACATGCTTCAATCAGAACTCAATCCTGACTCTGCCTAGCATATACATCTATAAATGCATTCTATACCTCAGAGACCATCAGGAAATGTTTGAAAAAAATTCCAATTTTCATAGCTATCCCACAAGGCAAGGAAACTCTATCAGGCTTCCCAAACATCACACAGCTCTATATGAGAACAGTCCATTTTATATGAGCATAAAACTTTTTAATTCTCTTCCCACATACGTAAAAGAGATAAACAGTCAAATTACTTTCAAGTCCACTCTCAAAAAATACCTCTTGGAGAACGCCTTTTATAGTACTACAGAGTTTCTTCAACATGGGCAAAACTGAAATCATTTGTTTTAATAATGTTTGTAATGTGTTTTACTTATATACATTCTGAATGAAATGTTCAATCATCTGTTTTAGCGACTGTTTTAGTGATGTTAGTAATGTGTTTCATATGTATATACATTTTTTATATTTATTCCTTAGAATACTCTATCATTGAATAAGATATTCTTGTGACTGTGACGTTTCCAATATCATGTAAATGATCCAGATGGAATAAAAGAATTATTATTATTATTATTTTAGACCTGGTGTTCTGCAATCATCTCGTTGAAAAATCTATAGATCCATTAGTAAAAGATGATGGTTATCATCCTGCTTTGGAAATAACATACGAACTGAACTTCAAAACGAACTCTAAGAATAAATTTGAATTATGTTTTCAAGATTCATACAGTTTTAAAAAAGCTAACTTTCCGATCATGTATGAGCTGATCCTCAATCTCGACTGGACGTTTCTAAATGCATTTCGGAATGCAGATGATGCCTGTCTTCACTTTTATGAAAAATTATACAGTGTATTTGATCGCTGCGTGCCAAAATTCTCGATAAAATCTGAAAATAATTATCCAGCCTACTTTGATAGTGCATTGATAAATAAAATTTGAACTAAAGCAAAATTTTGGTGAAAATACAAAAGAAACGGCGACTTTCACGCTTTTCACGAATTCAAACGTCTTCAGGCAGAAATCAAAAGAGCCATTGGAATACCTTATAAAAAATTCATTCAGAAAACTAAGAGCGAGATTATCCAGAACCCTGATAAGTTTTGGTAATTCATTAACAAGTCAAAATGTACGAATGGAATCGGAAATAAAATGTAACATGAAGGCAAGCTACTCGATAATCCCTCAGATATTCTTGATGGTTCGGAATCGGAAATAAAATGTAACATGAAGGCAAGCTACTCGATAATCCCTCAGATATTCTTGATGGTTCGGAATCGGAAATAAAATGTTACATGAAGGCAAGCTACTCGATAATCCCTCAGATATTCTTGATGGTTTTGCAGATTTCTTCAGTGGTACTTATATAGTGGCAATATCAGGTGACCATGCGAACAACAGTAGTGATATTCCCAGCCTAGTAATCAAAAACGTTAGTATTGAAGATATTCATCATACCCTAAAAAATTAAAGCCTAAATTTACTGAACCACTAACAACTCTAATCAATATACAGTGCTAGTCAAAAGTCCCCTCCCCCCCTCGTATCTTTGGAACGGGTATACTTATAATAATGAAATTTGGAGGGTGGAAATAAACGGATGTAGGCTTCTTAACTGGTCATAACAGGTGACGCAATAGTCATAAATGACGTCACAAGGCCACTGTGACCAAAAATTTTAAAT